GATATTACTTTGAGAAGCATTTTCAAAATTCGATTTTTGTATTAATGATATATTTCGCGTTTCTGAGAACCGTTGCAGTTGGTCCACGCACATGCGATGTTAGTAGTCCTTTACTTTTCTATGTCTGAAAAGAATTATGCACATGGTGTAAACCGCAATTGGAATAATAGTACTACTACCGAATATGACCATGAAGCGCGTATATGAGCAGGTAGTTAGGGTGAGACGTATCTGACCAAAACGCTCGAACTGCAGGCAACCCTATCGTAAATAGAGGCAATAACGAGACTGCACGGTGGCTCATTGTAACACGTAATTTGGAAATGTCTTTATTACCGAAAAGTAGGAGATATTATAGTAGGACGGTATTGAATTCTTAGAGACTATTTTAACATAAAGGGACTTTGTTACGAGCCAGGGCTAAGCGGCTGCGAGAGCCGAGGAAATGGCGAGTTTGGTTTTTTAGAGTTTGTTACGTGGACGAACCTGTGCAGATTTCATCGCAGGGAGCCACTAGGAGGTTCGTAGTCGTGGACGGACCTGTGCCTAATTCATCACAGGGAGCCACTAGGAAAGATTTTTGTGGACGCACCCGAGCCTATTTCATCTCAGGGAACCACTAAGATTGTTAGTATGGGCCTCGTAACTTTTAAGAATTCGGTACACTTCGAGCGGTAAAAGTGTGCCTTTGTGGGTTCTCTTCTAAATGGGAATTTAGATGTTATTCTAGAGTTGAAATGAACAACACTGAATTATAAATACATGAACGTATAAAAGTATATTCAATAAAGTAAAGGTTTTACAAATGGTACTGTAAAGTGTAGTCGCGGAAGCTAATTCCAACGTTCTCGGTTTTCACGCACTTTGAAATGCGGGGATTTGTTATGCAGGTCTTAGCTAACTTTTTGAAATGCTTGACAAGGACTTTAATATCCGATCTCACTAGCTAGACTTCTGATATAAGTATGATCCGAGGATGAGCTGTACGCGTCCCTTTTTATATCCTGAAAATCGAGTCTAAAGTAGTGGGGGAACACGCCTGTTCTCAACGGAAACTGATTTCCAAGAAAATCGGGCCACGCTATAACACCCCGTGGGCAATTACGTAATCTGGCCGGATGCATTCCAACTCCCGATAGGGTTAAGAGGTCACGAGAGTGTCTTCGTACGTAACAGGGTTGTTACGAATTTCCCAGATTTTGAAAGAAGCATTTAAGCCGCCCAAAGAAATTAATATACCGTGAATAAAGAAAGTCCATATTGATGATGGAATACTTGTAACATTATTCAGAGGATAAAAAGAAAAGATGATGTGTTGTATTTCCATGCATATTATCCATGCTCACCGAAATCAAATCTAAAAAAATGCATATGCATGGACAAGCTTAACAAAAAAATCTAATTTTCAAAATGCTTCGCAAATTAATATCTTCTAAGCTTTCATTTTACTGTACGTATCATATTAATGTAATGGATTTTTCTTCCAATGTTTTCATACGTATTGCTACGACGCATTTTTGCGCCGTGCCCCTTTCGGCCCGAAGTTTGACTCGGGCGCGGAAGAACCGAGAACCGGACCGCTCCCCGCCGCTACTCGCTCGCGCGAAATAACATCCAAGCGCTCCTGGATAGGGAAATGCTGCCGTTAGAATTCGAACTAATCACGTGGTAATCTCGCGCCGAGTTACTGCTCGCGATTACAGGGCCGTCACGATCGGGGTCAAGGCAAGGCGAAGGACGCGGTATCGCCCGTACCCACCGACTCTGCTTCAGGGACCGCCCCGGAATCCCGTCGAGCGGCCGCTCGACCGGACAAGGGTTCTATCCCAGGGGGATAGGACAGGAGGAAAAGGGCCTGCCCGCGCATCGAGCACTGGCTTCGAGAGGCGCTTGGTCGGCCGTGGGGGCAACACGAAACCACCCACCGGACAAGGATCGGCGACCCGGACGTCTTCCTTAGCAGAAGGACCCCACGATGGAGGAGTCAGGGGGCAGGGAACCCGTGAGGAGTCGCAGCAACCACGTAGGAGGGTGCAAGACTGGGCTCCTCACACAAGGGAAGCGATCTCCGTGGCCAGGGGATCCTTCCTTGGCGTGTCGTCCCTGGGCCGAAGGAGCATGGCTCCGCAGGAGTCACAGGGGGTACGAGGGCCAATAGGACTGCCCAGTGGGGGGCCCACTAGGTCCTCGCGTCGCGTAACGAGCCCCGAAATCGTCAGTTGAGTGGCCCGTCTTAGAGAGTACAGTTAGGTAGCGTATCGCGCGTGTCTCGAAGCCCGGCAGGGAGCGAGACTAGAGGAGGACTATCGACAACTGTAAGTGAGCTCTCTATTCCGTTTTTATACGGCAATCTAGATCTGGTTCGCATGATTATGTTGCGATCGACAGTTTAATATTGCAACTCGCTAACGCGCGCGAGAGAACCACGGGGGTTCATCGGGAGAAATAATATCGAGAATCCAATGCAAAAGCAACGCGCCTGCCGCTCAAGTCCTTGTATTATGTTTTGTTATCGGCGGTATCGTGGTACCGTCCGACCGCGCCTCTGTAATTTTCGTAATGAACATCTCGAGCTGTCGTAGACCGCGTAATAGCGAAATATAGAAGATCGTACCGGAATCCGGTGATACCGAAGGCGCGGGCCGCGACGATAGTAGTCGACCGTCGAATTGTTATTCCGTTGTTGAACGTACCGACACCTGTTGTAACGCGGTCTCGTAAGAGGCCGGCGCGAGAAATCTAATAAATTGTTACACGATCTATTAACCGATCCCGAGAGGTAGTTTCGATTCCTTTTATTTGTCTGTGTCGTCCTACGGGAATTCCTATCGCGAGGAAAGTCTTTTTTCACAGAGATGCGGCAAGCTCCAACGGCGGACCTGGGGGCGGTTATCTATGAAAAGGTTGCCGTCGTCCAGAAGGTTGCGGAGTCAAGCCGCAACCTAAAGGGGACGTTCGTCCGCTGCCTGCCGGAGGCCGCATTACACATTAAGTATGCGGCTGCCGAGCAGGCTAAGCGGACGACGGGCTCCGAGCGGGAGGTCGAGCTCGAGCGCGACCTCAGGGAGCACCGCGCTCGACTCGCGGCCGCTAGGGCGCTGTCGCGCGTGCGCGACGACAGGGGGCGGCTGTCGCGGCTGGGGCTGGCCCCCCGGACGCGGTTGTGGTTATGCCGCCGCCCCCGCCACCGGGGCCGGCCACGCTGCCTGGCCCGAGCCGTCCCCGGCGGTCCGCCTCCGCCCGCGCCTTTGGCAGCGCCATTGCCGCTGAGCCGGCGCCGTTTCCGGCCCCGCCCTCACCCCCGCGAGGCGCGTTTGGGGCGTCCCCCTGCGTGCCCGGCGAGATGTCATCCGCGGGGCGTGCGCTCACCGTAGCCGACGTCGAGGGGTTGTGGAGAGGCGCGTGGGGCGCCTTTTCGCGGCCTTCGAGGCGCGCATTATGGCGTGCCTCGACGGCCTGGGGGCCGACGCCGACCGGAAGAGCCGGCGACGGACGGAAGAGCCGGCGACGGACCGACGCCCCCGCCGCGGCGGGTCCGCGGGGCCGGGCGGCGGGGCGGCCGGGGGCGGCGGCAAGAAGAAGTGGCGGAAGAGGAGAAAGGAACCTCTGGCGCCGGCCGAGAACGGGGGCTCCCGGTGACGCGCCGACCGGTCCGGACCATCCGGACAAGTGGTCCGAGGTGGTCGGTCGCCGGGAGCGGCGGAAGAAGAGGGCCTATACGGGTCACCCGTGTGGGCCCGCGACCTGATGGCCCGCCGGCGGGGCCGGCAGCTACTGCGACGCATTCAGCGCCGCATGGCCATCAGGATCGCGAGGGGGTACCGCACCATCTCCTACGAGGCGGTGACTGTCCTGGCAGGGGTCGTGCCCTTTGATTTCCAGGCGGAGGCTGACGCCGATCTGTATGGGTGTCTGCAGGGCCTCCGCCGGAACAGGGTCGACCCGCCGGACGACGCCGTCGAGGTGATGAAGCGCCAGTGCCGGCGGCTCGCTCGCGAAAAGTGGCGGCGCCAGCTGTATGACAGCGGCGCCGCCCAGCAGCGAGCCGTGGGCGCGGTCCTGCCCGTCCTTGAAGCATGGCTGGACCGTCGGCACGGCAGGCTATCCTACCGGCTCACGCAGGTGCTCACCGGGCACGGATGCTTCGGGGGGTACCTGCAGAGGGTTGGAGCCGAGGCGACGGCAGAGTGCCACCAGTGCAGCGCGGAGGTTGACTCCGCGCAGCACGTGTTGGAGGAGTGCCCGGCCTTTGCCAAGGAGAGGCGGGCACTCCGTTTAGAGATAGGGGGAGACCTCTCGCTCCCGGTCATGGTTGCGGCCATGGTGGGGAGCGAGAGGTCGTGGAGGGCGGTGTCCTCCTTCTGCGAGACCGTGGTCTCGCGGAAGGAGGACGACGAGCGGG